GTGGGATGGTGTAAGTGGAGAAGTGCGTCTGGGGTATTGTGCGATAAACGAATACCCACTAGACTAAAATGTAAGTTTTATAGAACGGCTATTAGACCAGCTATGTTGTATGGGATGGAGTGTTGGGCTACCAAGAAACAACATGTAGATAAGATGAGTGTAGCTAAGATGAGGATGCTAAGGTGGATGTGTGGTAAGACTAGACAAGACAGGATTAGGAATGAGTGTATTCGGGAATGGGTAAGAGTAGCACCGATTGAAGATAAGTTGAGAGAGAATCGTTTGAGATAGTTTGGTCATATTCAACGGAGACCAACAGAGGCAGTAGTAAAGAGATGCGATGCTGTAACGGTAGATAGAAGTGTCAGGGGACGGGGTAGGCCTAGATTAACGTTGACTAGCGTTGTAAGTAGAGATATGAATCTACTTAATTTGACTAATGAAATGGCCTTTGATAGGGCTGCGTGGAGAAGAAGGATTCATGTAGCCGACCCTATTTGATGGGACTTAATGCTATGCTTGGTTTGGTTTGGTTTGGTTATTGTTATTATTATTGAAAGATGTGACTATTCACATGAAATTGAAAATTGTTGGGCAAGCAAATTGTTTTAGTTGTTGAAAGATATGAACATTCACATGGATTGAAAGATATTGAGTCAATCAAATTATTTCAGACGTTATTGTTGTTGTTGGTGAAATATGTAAACATTCACATGGAATTGAAAATTGTTGGGTAAGCAAATTGTTTCAGTTGTTGTTGTTGAAAGATGTGAACATTCATATGGATTGAAAAATGTTGGGCCAACCAGATTATTTCAAATGTTATTGTTGTTGTTGTTGAAAGATGTAAACATTCACATGAAATTGAAAATTGTTGGACACAAATTATTTCAGTTGTTGTTGCTGTTGTTGAAAGATGTGAACATTCATATGGATTCAAAAATGTTGGGCCAATCAGATTATTTCAAATGTTATTGTTGTTGTTGTTGAAAGATGTAAATATTCACATGAAATTGAAAATTGTTGGACACACAAATTATTTCATTTGTTGTTGTTACTGTTGTTGAAAGATATGAATATTCACATGGATTAAAAAATGTTGGGCCAATCAAATTGTTTCAGATGTTATTGTTGTTGTTGTTGAAAGATGTACATTCACATGGATTGAAAATGTTTGGCCAATCAAATTGTTGTTGTCAACCGTAGTGAATATTCACATAAAAACAAAGAATCATGGTTTAATTTCCTTATATCAGATGTTGTTGTGATATATAATTATGTTGTGAACATTCACAACATGCGTAAATTAATTGACACTTTGTGAACATTCACCACTATATTTAGAAGAAATATATCACTTTTGTTATCCTATGTTTGAAACCATATTTCAATTTTGAGGTTGTACTATAAAATTGGCATAACATGATTGTAGTAAGTCTGTGTATTGTTAGCCAAATTAGTACTGTGAATGTTCACAACATCCTTTAATCTATTTGGGTTAGCATCCACATATTCTTGAATGTTGTTCATCAATATATAAACACACGTTGATTTTTACACACACACACACAATGCACATTGTGTTTTTGTTGACACAGTGAATATTCACATCCATTGACAGATGTGGATATTCGCATCCATGCATACAACTGTAGATATTCACACTGATGCACACAACTGTGAACATTCACATCTATGCCAATGTTGTGAATGTTTACATTTGTGCCACTATTTTAATCACATAAGCCTTGTCTTAATTTTTTTTATGCTTTATTTTGCAATTATTGCACAGACGAAAACCTCAAAGCGAAAAAAAGATGAGTATCATGTCAAAGAAGAAAGCCCACATGCAAACACTAGCAACAATGTTGACATGCGGCGGATCGACCCACCGTTTGTGTCTTTCCGTTCTCTAACCATTCCACCGTTATCGAAGCGTTGTCGACTATTGGAACCATACTCCAACGAAGAAGAAACAACGCTGTGAAGATTTCTATTTATCAGAGTGTATCAACTCAACATGGAGACCAAATGTAAGCACCTTTTTTTCCCTTTTTTGTGTAATCAAATTACTTTTTTTTTTGTCCTAATGCAAACTTTCTCACATGTTGCCATTATTATTTTTGGTCGTTGTTGTTCATGATTTTGCTGTTATTTTCCCTCTTTTGTCGTTGTTAGTATTGTTGAAATTATGTAAACTCCCAAATTTGTTGCTTTCCTAGAAAACAGAAAATTGTCGTTGTTTCGGATATTGTTGTTGTGAAAACCCATCTTTTAATTATTCTTTAAAGAAAATAAATAAATTAATTAATTAATTAATTTTGTCTACAGTCTATCTGAATTGTATATTAGTGTAAAAAATAGTTTTAAATTGACTCAATTCAATCACTAACAAAGACCTTATTAAGAATAAAAATGTTGTGAATGCTTAATAACTATTGTTACAATTTATTAGTTAAAAAAAGAAAAAAAAAAGAAAAGGAGGAATCTGATTCAGTGGCAGTATATGCCACATGCAAGCTGTATGTAAGCTTGGTAACTTCCATCCCATTATCATTCTTGGGTTAAGGAGAAGTGTAGTGGGGAGTATAATGAGAAAGAGAAAAAGAGAGAGAGAGCGGTCTATGACTGGGCGAGCGGGGGTGCTCACGAAGTGACCTTCCCTAATCGTACCCAAGTTCCCGAGCCGAGGCAACTTTGGTGATGACGGACACGTGGCCTTTTGGCACCGAGTCAGGGTTTCCTAAATTTCCCAAAATAAAATATTTAGGTGGCGACTCTGTATCTGGCAAAGCAGTCCATGTTTGGCACTTCTTTCAAAAAATCTGTTTTCTAAAAAACGATTTGCCGGATTTGGACTCTTTGGTTCAGATTAGGAACCGTGACTACAAAGTCGAGTCCGAGCTGTAGCGAGGTCCCCCGCGGGCTTGTTACACACATCCATTGACAGATGTGGATATTCGCATCCATGCATACAACTGTAGATATTCACACCGATGCACATAACTGTGAACATTCACATCTATGCCAATGTTGTGAATGTTTACATTTGTGCCACTATTTTAATCACATAAGCCTTGTCTTAATTTTTTTTTATGTTTTATTTTGCAAATATTGCACAGAAGAAAACCTCAAAGCGAAAAGAAGATGAGTATCATGTCAAAGAAGAAAGCCCACATGCAAACACTAGCAACAATGTTGACATGCGGCGGATCGACCCACCGTTTGTGTCTTTCCGTTCTCTAACCATTCCACCGTTATCAAAGCGTTGTCGGCTATTGGAACCATACTCCAACGAAGAAGAAACAACACTGTGAAGATTTCTATTTATCAGAGTGTATCAACTCAACATGGAGACCAAATGTAAGCACCTTTTTTTCCCTTTTTTGTGTAATCAAATTACTTTTTTTTTTGTCCTAATGCAAACTTTCTCACATGTTGCCATTATTATTTTTGGTCGTTGTTGTTCATGATTTTGCTGTTATTTTTCCTCTTTTTGTTGTTGTTGGTATTGTTGAAATTATGTAAACTCCCAAATTTGTTGCTTTCCTAGAAAACAAAAAATTGTCGTTGTTTCGGATATTGTTGTTGTGAAAACCCATCTTTTAATTATTCTTTAAAGAAAATAAATAAATTAATTAATTAATTAATTTTGTCTACAGTCTATCTGAATTGTATATTAGTGTAAAAGCTAGTTTTAAATTGACTCAATTTAATCACTAACAAAGACCTTATTAAGAATAAAAATGTTGTGGATGTTTAATAACTATTGTTATGATTTATTAGTTAAAAAAAAAGAAAAAAAAAAAGAAAAGGAGGAATCTGATTCGATGGCAGTATATGCCACATGCAAGCTTGCATGTAAGCTTGGTAACTTCCATCCCATTATCATTCTTGGGTTAAGGAGAAGTGTAGTGGGGAGTATAATGAGAAAGAGAAAAAGAGAGAGAGAGGGAGAGTGGGGGAGCTCAGCATATATACACCATGAATGGCTGAGCAAAATCCCATGCAAAAAGAGGCTTGGTCTGCTCTTTCGTACAAGCGAGGGAAAATTAGAAAAAAAAAATAAAAAAAAATAAAAAATCTCAGCTAACAGTAGAAGGAAAAGAAGAGAGGAAGGTTAAGGAAGCAAAAATTTTCTACCATTTTATCAACCATTTGAATCCTACTGTTAGGTAAGAAAACCCTCTCAATCCTCTCATTTTTTTTTTTTAATTGAAATTTTCAGATTGTGTACATATGATACATTGTCTAAATTGTGTTGAAAATAATCTGTTTTGAATCTGCCAGCATGTTACCCGAATTTTTAGATAATTTTATACTCAGAATTTCGAGATGATTTCTTCTACAAAGTTGTTGATAATGATGTCTAGTTTATCCAAAAATTTTTGGTAACAATTTTTGAGCTTTCTACGAATTTATACAAATATTTTTACTAAATGTGCTGGAGCCTCAATGAAATGTGTTAGTGTCCATGTGCACACGTGGTGTGTAATGGAAGAATGAGGTGTATGTATTGGGCATTGTGCTGAGAGCATTTCCAAAAAAGAAATAAAAAAAAATAAAGGGTTTAAGAGTTGAGACATTGTAGAGAGAGAGATTTCAAAGCTTAGAATTCATGTGCTGGAAATAGTAAAGAAAGGCTAAGGAAATAGCTTGGGAAAGTGAAGAATTGAAGAGGAGTTAAAGATTTGGTCAAGGATTCATTAATTGAAGATTTTAGTAAGAAAACCCTTTCAACGCCCTCATTTCTTTTTATTAATGAAACTTTCAGATTACTTCCTTGTGATTAAAATGACTACTCATAAATAGAAATTTTATATATATGTGTAGGAATTTTGTAATAAAAATAGTCTGTTTTGAATCTGTCAAAATGTTGTCCGAATTTTTAGATAATTTTATACTCAAAATTTCAAGATGATTTCTTCTACAAAGTTGTTGATAATGATGTCTAGTTCATCCATGAATTTTGGTAACAATTTTTGAGATTTTTACGAATTTATACAAATTTTTAACTAAATCTAAAACTGTGATGAAAATAGTTTGTTTTGAATCTGCCAGAATGTTGCTTGAATTTTTAGACAATTTTACACTCAAAATTTTGAGATGATTTATTCTACAAAGTTGTTGATAATGATGTCTAGTTCATCTAGAAATTTTGGTAACAATTTTTGAGCTTTCTATGAATTTATACAAATTTTTAACTAAATCTGAAACCGTGAGACAGATTTTACCATGTATTTGAAAATTTATTTAAAATTCTATACTAAGCCAAATCTGGTAATTTCTAACTAAAATATGAAATTTGAGAAGTCTAGTTTCATGATAAATTTTAGATTTGGGTTTGATCTATAAATTTAAGCATGGAATTAATGTAAGGAAATGTGACAAATCTGTGTCATAAACACCCTTGGAATTTTTTTAGAATTATTTGTAAGTTATTTTTGGAAAATACTTTCTGAAAAATAACCATAACATGTTTATTGAGTATCCTGTAGATTGATATGAATTTTAGAGTTGTATAAGTAATGTATTTATAATTTTATTTGCAAGATATATACTCTGAAAGTTTTTCTGGACAGGATAAAATCACAACTTTAATATTATGCTAGTCTAATTTTGTAAATCAAAAATTTGTGCATGTGTGTATTTATGGTTTAATTCTTGTATCTAAGTTATTATTTTATACCATGGTTTAAATAAATTGTTTATTTAAATTCTGTACTTTTATTTAGTATTGTGTGACACATGCAATATTTTATGATTGGGAATTTTAATGAGTTGGTATAACATTTCTTGCGATTAAAAATTTGGAATTATTTGTGATTAATATCAAAATTAACTGAAATGATTAACGGCATATACAAAGTTAACAATTGACGGTTAATACCAGTTGTTCGGGGTGAGTCTTGGTTTAAAGACTGTACGGAATTAAGGGTTGACGGTTAACACTGGTTGTTCAGGGTGAGCCCTGGTTTTCAGAATTCTCACGTAAATTGTGTTGCGAAACTCTAAAATGGCACGGGACTTATTTGACCCCTTTTCGGTATTCGGTTTTGGAATAAGGGTGGATGTGCAGGTGGCACACAGGGAGGTTACTTACCCCTGGCAGACCGTTTCCTTGGGGCAGACCACGGATGCCACTACTTGGGTATATAACTCCGGATGTGGGCATCCCTGGTAGTTACAGTTGGTAACACTTAAATATTTGACCAAGGGAGGGTTTCAAATTAACCGTTGCCGTGCTTAGTGGTTGGTAAGTTAAATCTCTTTGGTGAGATTTCGAGTGTCACCTAATTTATAAAAATTACTGAAATTATTCTAATGGTTGTAATTTCTGTGTATAATTATATTGTTATCTCATGTTTAGAATATTATTTTTTTCTTAAAAAGAATGGTAGGTTGGTTACGTTTTCTTATTGTGTTGCAAAACTCATGGCATATATTTTGTTGCCCTGGCGTTTCATGCCAGATTATGTTAAAGAAGGGACTGAGGCTGAAATTGGAGCTGCTGCCAATATCGAACCTTGGCTGACTTAGAGTCAAGATTTTATCGAAATAAAATCATGTTATCCCTTGTATTAGGATTTAACTATGTTGTGACGTTGGGTGTGAATTTGTAGTTTTATTTTGTTGTTGGACTTTGACTATGTAAGAACTTAAAAGTTCCTAATTAGTAGTTAAAACTTTATCTAGCAAGTTATCGTTATTTAAATCTTATGACGTTTCAAAAAAAAAATTTGGGGCGTCACAGTTGTTGTTGGCATGATGTCAACATTCACATGGGGACATGTCTTGAATAAATTTGTTACATGATTGTGAACATTGTGTCAAGCAAATCTCCAAATAAAAACGTTTCTTCTAGTTGTAGTTCAATTTTGACGTGAACCTTGACATTATGAGCATTAATGTTGTTCATATTTGTCCACTTATTATTCACATCATAGTTGTGTACATTGAAAATATGTGGTTTGTGGGTAATGAATGGGTAATGCTATCATGTTGTTTGGTTGTTTATAGCCACTATGAATATTTACATTGGTGCTATTTGCTTTTAAATGTGTACATATAATCATTGTCATACTATGAATTGTTGTAACCAAATGTTGATGTGAACTTTAACATTCTCTTCTATACACATAGACATACGTAATATTATATGGATGTTTAAATATTAACATTTGGTGTGACCACTACTATTTGTACCCTAGTAGTAATGTGAATATTCACATCTCCAATGATGTGAATGTTCACATTGCTATGTTTGTCACTTAAATAGCACTTTGTTGCTTTTACTTATATGAATATCGTTGAATGTGAACATCTACACTGATTAATGATGTGCTGATGTCAATGTACATGCCTACCCTACAAATTCTATTGAAATCAAATTTAATGTTCATACAAACACTCACTATTTGTGCATGCCCATGTGACAGACGTTGCATCTATATTTTTCACAAAAAGGAAGAGGGAGGATTATTATGTCAAAGAAGAGAGCATGCCTCTAGAGAGCAACACCCACATCGACATGCGACATGTCAATTATCGATCAAACATCACAGGCTTAATAAAACTGATGAGAAGCAACAAGTTCTCAGATTTTCAGCTGGACTACTTGAGGCAAACTTCGTTTTTCGATAGTTGGGGTTGTCCACTATTCACTAGCTATACCAAAATATAGTGCTAGTTTTTTTTTTTTTTTTGGTTTTTTGGTTTTTTGGTTTTTTGTTTTTTTGTTTTTTTTTTTTTGTAACTTTGATAACTTGCAGTTGAAAACACTTGACAACATATATATAAATCAATGATATACTTCTCACATGCCTATGTCTTTTGATGGTATATTTGGTGTTGATGTGTTGCGTGTGCTAAACAATATAGACTGTGAACATTCAAATCTGTTTTCTTATGTTAAAGTTTGTGTGAATGTTTACATCTTAATTTATGTTCAATAAATGTGAATGTTCAAATTATGTCTTATGTTTATTGTGGTTGACTACATATGTTAATATTCACATTGTACATTAATTATATGTATGATCATATTAGAGTAAACGTGAATCTTCACGTCTATTTATTGCATTGTGAATATTCACATCAAAATGTAGTTGACTAAAATGTTAATATTCACATTATACATTAATTAGGTGTACGACCCATGAACAAACATATCATAATAAATGTGAATCTTCACATTTATTTATTGCGTTGTGAATATTCACATCATGTTTGTGTCTAAAACAAAATGGTCCTTGAATATTCATATCATCAATATTGCATAATGGCAATGAACACAACAAAAACATATACACCATTCAATATTATAAAAAAGTGTAAATATTAAGATTAATTGACAATACATATGACAAAATTCTAGTACAAAAAACCAGAAATCTAGAAACAAAAAAACCCATAAAATCTCAAACTCTCCAAAAACAAAAAAAAAACCATCACCCACATTCTCATCTTCATGATTATCACTACCATGCAATTCCAACATTACATCAATCCAACAACAACCTCTGCATATTGAACCCATAATGATTTGGCAAGCAGGAACATACTTTGAAGCTCATCATCACTGTCCAAAATAACACCTATTAATCCCAAGTAGTCGATAGAACAATGAAACACAATCAGTAGATAACGCGCTCCATTTTTCACACACACACTCCACGAAAAATGAACAAGACAGAGCTTGCACCACATTTATTACGATAGTACTACACCCATATGAGCACACCACCAACATGAATGTATCCATCTGCTGCAAAAATATAAAAACAAGGAAATGAATAAACACATTATAGCCAATGATATGTGAACATTTACATTGTTCACATATTTTGAATTATCTAACCAAACAGAGATGAAACAAAACAAGGAAGTGAATATTCACATCATTTTTGCATCTAAATAAACATTGTGGCTTGTGATTATATGATTGAATACAATGGTCTGATGTGAGCTTTAACATTTTGCATAGTGGCAATGAACACAGTGAATATATACACTATTCAATATTATATGAATGTGTGAATATTCACACTAATTGATAAAAAAAAATGACAAATTTCCATTATAGATAATGTGAATATTAACACTGATTAATAATGAGGTTAACAAAAAAATCAAAATAACTGTATATGCAACTTTTCACCAATGATCCACCACAATCAATTTGTTCAAACAACTGTATATGCATCTCTGTTAAATATTCGAAACTCAAACAACAAAAATATACATGCATTACTAGTAAAAAAATCAGAACCTCATTCATCAAACATGCACTTGTATTACCCATGTATTCTAGAAAATGCACATGAATAAAAAACAGAGCATGAAATCCTTCACATAAATGAACATGCATTCATAAACAAAATGATACTAACCTTGAGAAAGAAATTCTATAATCGTTCTGCACCTTCGATCAATGACTGATCTCCAACAATTACGTAACGAACCAAAGCACACAAAAACACCGAAACTCCAAAACTAAATCAACGAAAAAATAGGAAACGTGTTACACAGTGTGTATATATATAAGGGCATAATAGTCTAGGTAAAAATATAAAATTAGTAAAATAGACCTTATGGAATAAAAAGAAAAGTATATGAGACTAATCAGGTTATAATATTCTTTTGTGGACCTAATGGGTTATAACAACTCTAAAATGGATTTATCAATAAAAATCCCTATTTGTAAACTAATAATTTAAATTGAAATATAAAATATGAAACAAGTAGTTTAGTGACGAATTTTTTTGTCATCTGTACTTGTTATTATGACAAAGTGATTATTCGTCACTAATAAATATTTTTTGTGACAAAATTTATTGCAGCTTATATATGAAAGTTTTCATTGATTTTGTTGTTTGGTGACCAAAAATTTCGTCATGTATATAAATTTATGTTACGAAATATATTTCGTCACCCATATAACTTTTGGAGATGATGGAGATGAAAAATTTCGTCAACTTTGCATCTTGCTGTGACAAAATTATTTCCTTATCAATGATCAACATATTTGACAAATTTATTCGTCAACTAAAGTTATAAATATTGTATTAAATAACTATTTAGTGATGAAAATGAGGATTTTTAGCGACAAATTGTTGTTTTATTGGTGATAAAAAATTTCGTCATTGAAGTAATTTTATTGGTGACAAAATTATTTTTTGTCACCGTGGTTTTTACTGACTAAAGTTATAAATATCGTATTAAATAACTATTTAGCGACGAAAATGAGGATTTTTAGCGACAAATTGTTGTTTTATTGGCGATAAAAAATTTCGTCGTTGAAGTAATTTTATTGGTGACAAAATTATTTTTTGTCACCGTGGTTTTTACTGACAAATATTCAATGATGAAACCGGTGAGGAAAATATTTCCTCACAAATATCTATAGTGACGAAATTAGTTCTTTGGAGACAAAAAAATTCGTTATTCAAGACAGACTTGTAGTAATGCGAATCTAACTCGAATTGTGCCTATGTAAAAGAGTTTCTAATCATGAGGCTTTCATGTTAGCCACTTCGTTGACTATGCATAGAGATCGAGGTGCTTGGTCAACTTGCGGGGGGTCCAAGGGGCAACGCCCCATGGTGGGTCCGGTGCAGTGCCATGGTGAGGTCGAGGGGCAGCGCCCTTGAAGCAAAAAGCAAAAATGTAATCAAAGTTGTTTAACCATTCAAGCAGTCATTTGTGCACTCGAGCGGAGAAAATGATCATCCAGTACTTTTGCAGAGTGCTTGAACTTCTAGGAAGAAAGTTTTACCGCTCGAGCGGTGAGAGTTGAGCTCGAGCAATTGACCTATATGTTTCGCACCACCTTTAGTTACACCACTTGAGCGGTCTTCGCGGCTCTGTTTTCTATAACGTGCATCGTTCACTATTTTTAGGGTTGAAACCATCCAAAATCTTAAAGAGAAAGAAAAGACAAAATGTTTTCTATTGGAAGCTGTTTTATATGAGTTTCTTTTATAGAAAGTGATCAATTGATCAACAAACTAGAGATTATCTAACATTAAGAGTTGTTCTTATTATTTCATTCACAAAAAAGAGAGGTGTCCTTCGGTAGATTTCGTGGAGTTTGGGCCTAAAGTTTGGGTGAATTTCAGAGTGGCTCATCATCGTGGATTTGACATCAACGTTGTGGATTCAATGTTGGGCAAGACAATTTCGAGGTGAAGACGGTGATAGAAGAGGCACATCGGGTTTGGTTCAATTCAAGCATGGATTCGCTAAGTAATTGAGAGTACTCTTGTATAATTCTTTTTTGTCTTCTTAGTAGATTGTTTTGTAGTTTTGACCTGTGGTTTTTATCACAATGGAGGTGCTCCAATTGTGATTTTTTCCACGTTAAATTATTGTGCCGATTTGTCTTGATTGTTTGATTGGAATTGTTATTATTATTTTAAATTAAAATATAATCATGAATCAATATCTCGAAAATTTTTAGATTTATCAATTTGAAATAGAGGATTCTTGAGAAGCAAACAAGAATAATATTATCATCAACTGAATGACAACATAAGAAATCTTATTTTTACACTTCTAAATGATATGTTTAGCATAAAATCAATTTTTATTTCACCACCATTAACAAAAATATTTATTATTCCTAACCAATAGGGGTGCAACTTTGCCGGATTTAATCTGAGTAACCCGAGCCAAACCCAAATTTTTTTAAAGCTTGTGCAACATATTTTTGAATTAAGTATGGGTTTGGACAAAATTTCCAAACAATTCAACCAACCTGAATACCGAATTGTATGTATAAATATATAAAAATATTAAATATACATATAAATTATTAGCAGCTGAAATAATTTCAATCGTTAGATGATATTCACTATATATGTATATATATTATATACAAAAATAACACAAGATAAAATTTTACCCTTTTCTTTTCTCACTCAAAAATGGTAAAGATCACAGCAGCGGCACATCATTTCCTCAATTATCATCTCTCACATCATATAAATTATTTGTTTTGATATTATTAATATTTTACCCCAAATAATTCTAACAAATTAATCAACCAAACTGGGAAAACCAAAAAACAAAAAAAAAAACCACTGAATTTATGGACAATTCCAGCAAAGCTGTCATAATTCATAATCTTAGACCACAAGACTTAAAATTAAATGTGTGTAACATAGAATTAGTGTGTAACATAGAATTAGTCTTTGTTCATACATTGGCAACAATGAAACAGACACAGAAAACTATATCAAAAAACCATATGTAAGTGAACCTTTGGCTCTTGACAGTCTTTTATTGTGCCACTTTCTTCAAGTGAAAACATTATACAGAAATCTCCATATGGAAATTCCTTGATGTGTTCAGTGCTTCTCAAAACCAGAGTTAGTGACTTGTATCTATGTATGCAAAAGTAGTTTCATTTCCAGGAAGCTATAGTTCTGAGTCTTGGACTCCAGTGTTCAGCACAAAGCTTGGAAATGCCAGTGTTATTTCCCTGAAATATGTAACCACACAGTCAAAAATCTCACAATAACTACCACACACTAAACAATTTGTCGCAGTTAAATGAGAAGTAAACTGAGCACAGTAGAAATTAAAAGAGTGCAGTTACCAGTTCAATATACTTTTTTGGTCGAGTACACTTTTTTACTAATAGTTTGCGACCCAAGTTTCACTTTAGTTCTTATTATTTCAATTTAAACATATGTCAATAATCCTAGACTTTAAGTTCATCATTCTGTTCAAATTGGATGTTAAAATTCATAATTTTTTTAACATAGTGTTACTCACATGAAGAGTACATGTAGGAAAAATTGACAGTCCTATGTGTGTATATATATATATTATTATTTCTTCCAAAGGACTATGATAGGACTTTTTTTGGGCTGTTGAAAAAATGTTTAATCATGATTTTTATAAAATTATATATAACTCACGTCAAATATGGAACAGTCATGTTTTTTAATATAGATGGATGCCTTGCTACCAATTCCTTCCACTCTTCTGGATCAATCCTCCCATCTCCTTTCAAATCTGCTTCCATGATTGTCTGCAAGAAGATGATCACAGAGTTTTAATATAGCTAGCTAGAATGTTAAATCAACAACTCAGAGATAGTGTGATTATTCATTCACCTTATCAACAATTGCTTCAACCGCATCATTAGAAAGTGTCAAATCCAATTCGTTCAGAAGAGCCAATACCAACTCCTTCAACTTCAAGGTTATAAAAAAAAATTTACATTTATTTTTGCAATTAAAATGTATGGGTGATTATAACATTGTGAGCTAGTATAGATTAGACCAATACATGCATTATATAGTTTCAAACAAAGGCTTCGTCCGCTTATTACTCTAATATTTTTTCCAATGAATAATGCTTGGGATCCCCTTTTGGGGGTCACCCCCTCACCCCCCTTTGCCACGTGGCAGGGGGTGATTGGTAGAGCAGGAAAAAAAAGAAAAAGAAAAAGAAAAGGTAACCAATGAGAGAGAGAGGGGGTCAAAGGGGGTGGGGGGAAAAGGGGGGATGAATCATTACTCTTTTCCAATAACCAGTATATAGGAATAAACAAAATGCATATTCCAAAACATATCATGTTACTGACTTCCTGTAAAAGGGAAACCTAGAGAGGGTAGTGCAAGATGTTAACAACCTAGGAAATTTAAATGTCCAGCATGGGTGGACACAGCTTGAGTGTTGTATATCATTGAAAAATTATGTATTGAGAAAGGGGAAATAGCACATAAAAAAGGTAATTTTTACCGGAAATAGGAAAAGATAATTTAGCTAGCCAAAGAAGGCAGTTTCTGAGAATTATAAGAGATAAATTGCGATAAATGTTTTCGAGACATTCACCTCATCACGCTCTATGTAGCCAGTGCACCTTAGATCATACAATCTGAATACAACTGCAATAAAATTCCTCCCAAAGTTAGTGGTGGTGCATTTGGGGGGAAAATCTTCTAGAGATGACATAGTAGTACATATGGGAACAAGAAGACATATCATCATTATATGAAATAAAATTAGAAAAAAAAAAAAAAAGAAGAAAAAAGCTGAAATAAGAGACTCTGTCATGGCTGTCTTACATGCAACTTTTTCTGCTTCAGGAGCATTTGGGTGGAAGATGCTTAATGATCTAACAAATTCTCCAAATTCAATAACTCCATTCTGCTTAAGGTCAAACAAATCGAATAACTGCAACAAATTGAAACAAAAATTGTGAATGACTTTAGCTTGCTGAATACTCGTATGGTGAGGATCCATAACATGATGGTGACCTTCAAGAGTTTTGTTTTATCATTCATATGTGGCCAGATGAGCTAAATGGTATATAGCGCTTTATTCCCTTTATTCCCTTATGCTGTGTTTGGTTGGGGGATTTGAGGATGGATTTGGAAAGAGAAATGAAAAAGATAGGTGAAATGTAAATAAAATATGCCTATATTTCACCTAGTTTCACACACCTTTTCCCTTTTCCTTTCTAAATCCCTTCCCGAATCCCTCAACCAAACACAGCGTTAAACTACCAAGTTGAAGGCAACTTTAAGACATAAAGACACCTTGCAAAATGCTTTAAAGCATAAAAACATCATGAAGCATATTTATTTGTTGCAGCTGCTAATCTCCTAAGGGTTGACAATTACATTAAGCTAATGATTTTGCATAGATTCACCTTTATATATTCACAAAAAAGGAGGGGGGAAAAAAGTTTGCTTCCATATATAACTAATAAAATTACATATTAAAATTTACTTATATAGATAGCAAAATCCAGTTTATAATAAAGAAAAAGACCAAAACCAAACTAAAATATCAAATAAAAATTGAACAAATTGTAGCACAGTATCACTTAACTCTCCTTGCACTTTTAGTCGCAAAATTGTATAATCTATCATATCATTTTCAATGAATAACATTGCTAATCTATTTAGTGTTTCTTCTGACATGGTTGACTGAATATAAGATTTTACCAACTTTAACTTTGAAGAACTTTTGTCCCCAAAAGAAACTGTGACTGGTATAGCCAACAATATTCATTTGGAACCATTGCTTTGGATTGGGCCCTTTTTTATTTGAGGTTTAATAAGCAAACAAAAACATTTCTCGGCCCTAAATTTCAACAAAAAGTTGTGGGGTCCTAGATGGAGGCCTTGCCTGCCTATGCCCAGGGTCAGCCCTCCTCTTAATGAGAAATACCATAAGATAAGATACTTAGAAAAAAAAAATATTAAAATGATTAAAGAAGCCAGGATGTATATACGGACTCTGTCTGCCAAGAGACTTTGCTTGCTGCCGTTGTCGAAGAGTGCAAGTTGGAACTCTTCCTGTCCACGAAATTTCAAAAAGATAGAAATAATTAAGCACTTGGTGCATAGAACTTATCAGTGACCAATTAAAGAGCCAAAAATCCTAACTAACTTAGTAGAAAAACAAATCACAATATCCAGAATCTGGAACTTGAACTAGGTGATATAAAAGCATAAATCACAAACTTCATATCAAGAACTGCACTAAAGATACCTTGTGAATAAGACCGTCGTCAATTATAGAACTGCTTAGTTTGTTGTATAGATCATGCAAAGCCTCTACTTCATTTACAGTAACTGCCAAACAAACGAAAGTGCCTTAGTTTTAGATGTCTTTTGGGTCAATTTAAGTTATCTACTAAGAAGAGGTTTAGCAAACTAGAGCTTCTATACTCACAAGTTGTTTCAGAAGCAAGAATGGCATGATCTCCAGACCCCGGTTTATGTACAGCTTTCTTCAACCGAAAGCAGCCCAAGAAAGAACGCATAATTCAATTGAAGATTTGTGAATCTGGGAAGTATAAGCCAACAGTGATATTCAAGTGCATGCTCCCGTAATAAGAGGTGAAGAAAATGCATTACAATCTTTGAAAACGGGCCTCAAATTTGTGAACTGTTATCCTAATAATTAAGTATTCAGTTGGAATTGCAATTACCAGCAAGAACGAACACATTCATACATTTCATGAAATTAATAATATTTTCCACAGTTGACTACAGCAATCAAAAGAATACTAAAGTAGCTAACTATGGGAATACATAACGAAGCGAATCATGAAAATATGAAGGGTTTGTCAATCATAAAGCAATTACCCATTTTGTAAACAGATAACAATTATCTATTCAAGCAACCTGTTCTATAGTGTAACAAACTTCTTAAAATTCAGCTGAATTATGGTTCACCATGAGTTTTTTTTTTTTTTTTTTTTTGGAGATAAAGGAAAATAAAAGCAACTCTCTCATATTGCTGCCCAATCACTTGTTTGGATAGGTTACCAGGAGGAAAATGAAGAGAAACCAAAATCACTTAAGAGCCACTTTTTGAATTTGGAGAGATTGGGGAGAAAAGAAATGAGGATTAGTAAGTGCCTGTTTTGCCCCTCTCATTCACAAAACACAAATTTATTATCTTTTTTTTTTTTTCTTTTGCCCCACTCCTTCCTTTTCTTTTGTCTCATAAACTATCAAAACAAAAAGGAAGGATACTACTCTTCTTTCTTTTCCTCTCTCCTAGTTTTCCAAACATAAATGTAATGTTTTCTAGCATGCATTGTGCACTGATCTAGAGCCTCTCAACAGGAGAAACAATAAAAAGAAAAGTGAGAGATTTCAAAAGGAGCACCATAGCACCTTTTGGAGGTTTAGGAAGCCCATAGGCACACAAGTACCATTCAAAACATTAGTAGCACTTTCAAGAGAAAAATACAAAAACTATATCTGTCTTTCTATCTGATGCATTCCTCGAATGCTCGGCAACACTAGCATTCTAAATGGATACACGATGTTTCAAGCATCAAATTACATTCAAGGGGTAAGAAAGTTAAGATACAATGACTGTAAAATTCTCTAACAAAACAGAAATTCAAAATCACCCCTATGAAATATGTAAATGTAATCAAAGTAAAAATTATAAATAAAAAAAGGAAAACGGACGGCGAACAAACTTTTTCATATTAATTTCAAGTAAAACACATATAGCAAAGGGAAAGGGGGCAAAAAAAACTATAGGAGTACAAATTATCCTGCACCCAATTTTCCAAATGAATATTATTCTGCCAAATTGATATAGAACTAGAGATATGAGAAATCTAGGTGGGTCAGCTATGTATTTTGATCTTGAATTTGCAGAAGAAAAAAAAAGGGTCCACAATCAAAGACACAAACACAGCACAATTTTTTAACAGTGATCTGTTGCAGCTTAAGTGAATCTTACTTAAATGTTATGTATGCCAAAAGAGGAGCATGTAGGACCCAAATACATGGTAGAAGCAATGAAAAATGGCACTCTTTTTTTAACTTTTCAGGTGTCTGCTAAATCTAACACCAATGCTAATAACTGTATTTATTAACCTTTACATAACCAAGAAAGCTTCAATTTAAACAGTTATTAGCAACAGAAAGAACTGTCAAACCAAAAGCATATTACATATAATGGGTTTTTAAAGCTATCTATGAACATAACACCATAATCATACTAACCAGAGATGAATGAGTTGATGGGTCTTGATGATGATGTGAACAGAGAGAGATTGTTGTTGTTGTTGTTGTTGGTTGCTGTGAGACTAGCAGAAATAGTCATGGTTTGAAAATGTTGGGCATTGACAAAGCCAGTTCATTTCCTTATAGTCGCTTTCTGTAGTCGAATATATTCCTGAATCCACTACAATTATTGAGCAAAAATATTGCTTATAAATGTTCTGTTCGTGTACTTTAAAAGTAATGCAATTTTAAACGTTTAAATAGTACATTGAGATTTGCGTCAGGATTGGGAAAAAAAAAAAAAATTCAAAAAGATGATCTGATTGCGCACGAATTCCCTCTTTCAATTTTCTCCTTCACTCTTTATTTGATGGATCATTAGATTTTAGACTTAATTTTAATTATTCGAATCGTTCATATTTTATAATTTGTCATATATATTATATTCGTAAATCAAATTGATCGAAAATAGAAAGAACTAAAAATCATTTATTAAAAAAATTTAATAAACAGTTTTATTGTTTAATAAAACTTCTAATTTATGTGATTTTTGATATTCGATTGACTTAATTTTTTATAAATATAACATACATGAACGATTTGAATCTATCAAAATTGGACCGAAAAGTCAATCCAATAACCCATCAAATAGGAAGTTAAGTAGGAAAAGGAGAAAATCGTTTCTCTATCTGATTAGGCTGACTTGTACAGTTTCTTTTAATACTAAAGTAGCTAACTATGGGAATACATAACGAAGCGAATCATGAAAATATGAAGGGTTTGTCAATCATAAAGCAATTACCCATTTTGTAAACAGATAACAATTATCTATTCAAGCAACCTGTTCTATAGTGTAACAAACTTCTTAAAATTCAGCTGAATTATGGTTCACCATGAGTTTTTTTTTTTTTTTTTTTTTTTGGAGATAAAGGAAAATAAAAGCAACTCTCTCATATTGCTGCCCAATCACTTGTTTGGATAGGTTACCAGGAGGAAAATGAAGAGAAACCAAAATCACTTAAGAGCCACTTTTTGAATTTGGAGAGATTGGGGAGAAAAGAAATGAGGATTAGTAAGTGCCTGTTTTGCCCCTCTCATTCACAAAACACAAATTTATTATCTTTTTTTTTTTTT